CTTTCCCTTTATTCCCCCCTCCCTCTTAGTTTGTTTAACGTTTTGGGCTCACTGTTCCTAAGAGGGGGACCTTTGCTCCCTTTAGGGGCTCACCCAGTGTAACTGTAACCTCAGCTGGTTTTGGGTGAGGTGGACTTTCTTCACTTCAGGAGATCCTGGATTATCACCCCCTTCTCCTGAAAGCAGACACCTTGCAGAAGGGTCATTGCTGTTGGTGTCGGAACAAGCTCATCACGCAAAGCAACAGCAGAAACATGCCCGCAACGCCACCTCATCCTTTGGCAACTTTGGCACTGTCACAGCCTGCCATATTCCCCTAACACCTTTAATATTCATGCAGAAGAACAATGCCTGACCCCAGCACTCCCAGCCAGGCTCCAAGCCCCATGAGGAACATATTCATCTTACGTTCAGAGTCTTCTCCCTTGAAGTAGCCGATGAGTTTGATTTCCTCGTCAATTTGGTCAAATGCCTGAAGTTCTAGCTTGCTGTTTATGATCTCCACGGGGTCTTCTAGCAGCTGCCATGACAAATGCATTTGATAACGCAACGATTTGCAGCACCAACCTATGCCTGGCAGGGTGTGTCGCTAGCAGGCTAAGTGGGGAGAAAGAGGTCACCCAATTTCTCCGCTGTTGGAAACCCTACTTAGTGCTCTTTGCCTTAATGTGAGGAACAAAGAGATGCAGGTCACCTTCAGAGGGAGCCGTTAGTAGGTTCGCTGCATAGGTTGAAGCATCAAGAGGGAAGCTGAAAGAAGTCTGGGTAACCCAAATGGATGCTGAGGGACCTGCTGTGGTCCCAGCTGGCTCTAGTGAGGCTGAGAAAAAAGGAGAGCAGTTGCAAGGGGTTGGTATGGGGACTGAATTTCTGTGAATGATGGATGTATTTGTTTTCAAGTGTTATTTGCTGGAAGAGGTCATTGCAAAGAACTTGCTTTTGGAAAACATTAAAGCTGGTGGACTAGAGGGTGGCCAAACAGTGTTTTGGAGCAGTGGAAATTCTGGATGTGAATTTTCCTGGCTGATCCTCCCTATGCAGAATGGGTTAAAGCCATGCTTTGTTCCCAGACATGTCACAGTGTTGATGAGGGATTTGGAAGACCTATCTGCCGCTTCAACCTGTTTTTAGTCCAAATATTGTTTCTCTTTTCTTAACTAGCCACCACTGGTGAAAACATTTGGTCTGATTATTTCACCCAGCAATACTGGTGTAAATCAGGTGTGGTTTCACTAGGAAAAAAAAAAATGCAGGCAGGCCACTGTACAGCTTACAGAGGAGCAGAGGACCTCTGGGTTTCTTTTCCTTTGAGATCAGGCTGCTGAGGCACCACAGATATGTTTGGTTTTATTTCCCTGCTTTGCTGGCTATTTTCCCTCTTGAGTGGAAAACACACAAACAGAAATCCTTGCTCTCTTCCTTTGTTCCTAGAACACGATTTTTCAGCAGCACGCCACAAAGCCTCACAAAATGCCTTTCGCTGCACCCCTTGCAAGTGATGCTCTAGCGTGTGGCTGTGCCTCTGCTGCATCCAGAGCAGTGCGTGCAGCTCCCTGCTGCCATGGCAGCCTGAGCCATGGGGACCAGAGGTCCCACCGCTGCTGGGGTTGCAGAAAAGCCCTGCCCTGTCTGTGGCCATCCTGCGTGGGGCAGATGCCCACTTCTGTCCCTGAAGCCGCTTGCATGTGTTTTGGCCACAATACCCGATGCATGCAGCCACAGACATTGCTGTAGGAGAGCTAAGGTCTTAGGGAGCTGTTCTCTCTTCCGCAGCCATGCCTCTCCCCACCAGCACTCCTGCACCGCAGGTAACCCTTTGGGCAACCTGCCGCCCTGGGAAATAAACCCTGCCGGCTCCACTGCTCGCCTTACCTCCCTTATCTGCATTATTGTACGGCTGCTCATAAAGGGACCCTCATTTGCAAGGAAAGCCAAGCTGCTGCAAAATGTTTTCACTACAAAGCAAAGACCGTATTTTTGGGTTGTTGCCTCTCCTAGGAATAAAATGTAAAGAAAGTGAAGTGCAACACATTGATGAGGGAGACAGAATCTCTTTTGCATTTAGGCACAAAGGCGAGTACATAGTTGTGCCTGTGCACAAAATGACCCGAGAGCACTAAGTCCTAGGGCCTTGATCTTCTCTAATTCATGGCAGTGCAACTCGGTAAGGTCACTGGAGAGGCAGTAGTACACGCAGTTGTTTGCGTCATTGTGTCTGGAAATAGGCAAATAGTTTGCAGCATATATCTTTTTCAATGAATTGAGCTCTTTTTAGTTGCTCTATAAGAATGCTACCTCTTGGATATTTTTTTTTTAATAACTCTTCTTTTAAAAAAAGAGTGAAAGATTTTGCAAATGTCAAAGTATTTGCATGCCAGCTTGCTAACTGAGGTGGGTGACGAGCAGTTAGGTATGCGGGATTGTTGCTTGCTTCCAATCAAATACTCCATGAACAGGAAAGAGAACAGAACATCTTTAAGATATAAGTGTTTGGTGGCATAAAAAGGTGCCAGCTTTCCTGGGAACTCACAGTCAGACAAGTATTTGGGAAGCTGGCAAATGTAATCTCTACTGGTGTGTAGCAAACAGGGATGGAATTTCAAATAAAGATAAACCCATGGTTTTTAGCAAAGTGAGTATTTGCAAGGTCTTCTCTGAGGGGCTTTATCTAGCTCTGAGCTTATCTGTGCTTACATCCAAGAGGAATTCCACCAAGACATCTGTGGCCAGTTCCCCATCAAATTCAATCAACCGCTCTTCCTTAAAGACATAGAGACTTCCCTCTTCAACCAAGCCTGAAAGAAGCAGACAGGAAACATAATGTAGTCAACATGTCACTAAAAGCATTTTTACTACAGAGATTCTTGCTTGTTATTCTAGCAACACCTCCTGGGAAAAGGCAATTGCCAATTCGCCATGTTGGTCCAGTTGGAAACAACCTGAGCAATCTCCTGACTGATGTTTCATGGCACGAAGGCCACACCTCAGCCAGAACTTGTGCTAGCTTCTTCCCAGATGTTGAACTTTTTTGTCCAGGTCACAGTTTGGCCTCAGTTGGAAAAATTCTGTACCAGGAACTTGTTTTAGCTTGGCTATCTATATTGCAGTAAATAGTACTGGGCTCTAGCTGACATCCCAAATTTGAACAACCTAGCACTAGATGGAAAATGGATTTTGATGTGGGCTGTGCTCTCTTCCTGGATAAGGCTGAACTATGTGAACATAGTGAGCTGGAAGCCAAAGCAAGCTTCAAACTCCTTGTGGCTTAGCTAGCCTTGGCAAAAGGGTTAGAAACCTGTGGTAGAGATGCCACAAATGGCAGGCTGGCAGATTTGAATGGAATATCACTGGACTGAGGACTGCTTGCCACAGCGTCTCAGTGGAGGCTCCAAAATCAGCAGCACTAAGCTCCTGCGATACATCATGGCAGGGTACCACAGGTCAGGGTAGTTGGTAGTTTGTTCCTTCTTGGAGAGGCAGAAGCTCTCAGCTTTAGTTTAGTGTTCACCACCACACTTAGCCTCTAATTTAGGAAAGAAAATTACAGTCCAGTATACAGTCCAGTATGCTTAAACAGTCTAGTGGTATATTTATGTGCTGTTGTATTTATGTGCTATGGTATTCCCATATTGCTTTGTGGGCTAAAATATGAAGGAATTACCAGCCCCTGGAAGGCAGCTATTTCCAGGCGTGGGCAATGCAGCAGACTTCCACCTTTACAGGAGTTTTCCTCTTCTGCTCTGGGGAGCAGGTCAGGAAGGGTTGGCACCTGGATGCCAAACCATTGCAAGGCTGTGGCTCCCCCATTAGTGTCTGGGGGTCACTCTGCCATGGGGCTGGTGACATCTGAGGGGCTGTGTAATGTCCCTGTATGTTTTGGTTCTGCACCGCTGTGTCAGACCTGTCTCTGTGCAGGAAGAGCATGGAGTTACTCCAGGACATTTATCTACAGTTTCTGCTCAGCGAGCTGTGAGCTCCCACCCTGCCATCGCTATGGCATGAATTGGTTTTCTTTTTCACTTGGCTTGGTGTGATTTTGGCACGCTCAGCCAGGAAGTTTTTTGCTGGAAGGGTATCACCTCATCCCTCTCATTCTCCCTTCCCCACTTGATCCTGCCCATGTTGTGGTGGCAATTGCCACCATCACCCTCCCCATCCTGGTGACAAGGATTTGGCTGTCCTCTGTGGGGCTGGCTGTTGGTCATCAGGCCAACACCCTCTCCTAGCTATTCCAGAGATATCAGATCTGGGACTCACCTAGCTTTTTAGCAAGTTTGGCATCCTTCTTGGAGTCCACCATCCCGAAGCCGATGCTCCTGGGCTCCAGGACCTGAGCTGCCAGCTGTGGGAGGAAGCAGAAAGCCCCATGTTAGTGGCATTGACACCACAGGGTAACTAAAGGGCATCATGCCCTGCTAGCATGGCACGACAGACACAAGTGACCCATATTCTGCTCTTGGACAGCACCAATGGGTGGGATGCGTCACATGCTGCCTCCATGCTGAGATAATGCTGCCCGGAGGTCACAAGGGTTGGGTTTCTTCCCACTGTGTCGCAGCACCGAGTTTGCTGGTGATACCACGTGCTGCTAACCGCTGTTTGGCATGCGGGCATTGGGACAGGGCTCCCAGCCGAATCGAGGAGACCAAAGCAGTGGGCATGGCTGGGAGGAAGACCTGTGCCACCAACACAAAGCAAAAGCTGTCTCCTCCGTTGGTCCTTGGTGGCCTCCCGCGGGGGATCGTGACATGTGGGCACCGTGGACATTTTAACCCTGGAAGTGCTTGGTGCCAGGCAGCAGTGGCTGCAAATTGGAGGGAATGCAGGGCACTGCACCACCGTGTTTCCTTCATACGTGTGATGGGGTGGCCAAAGCAGACTCCCAGCAAAATAAAACAGAGAGACTCCTGGCTTTGCAAAAGCCGTCCCTTCTCCTATGAAATGCTTTAAATCATGTCTCCTGTCCGGGCTTCAGACACCCCCCAGTTCCTGGTCCCCTCTTTTCCCTAAAGAAATGAGTCTAAACCCAGCCACGCTCGCATTTGCCTCCTCACAGCTTTGGAAACCACTGCCCCCCGTTCCCACCATTTTTGACGAAGAGGCCTCTTGAAGATATCGAGTTCCTGCCTGTTTCATGAAAATAGATATGTGAGGAAAGGAGAGACGCTCTGCAAGTGCCCTGTGGTGGGAGCAGCCCCAGCTGAGACCCTGTGAATTCCAGACAGGCTCTGGAGCGATGCAGCGAGCCTGGGAAATGGGCCCCCTTACTCACCAGAGGACTGACTTAGCCCCACCGCAAGCATGGTGGTAATGATGCTCTGAGACCAGCTGTAAGAGCCTCTTCCTCTTCCCGCTCCCTCCCTGCTCCATGAATGCCTCTGATGCTGATGGTCTTTTTGCTGTCCCTTCTCCCAGCCCTGCCAGACGGGAGGGAGTGCGATGGGGACGAGGGGTCTCCAGGACGGGAATGTCTCTATTAGGGCACAGCTCAGCGGTGGGAGGCTGGAGAGGGGCAAGAAGAAAAGTGGCCAGAGGGATGGCAGGCTGATTTATGAGGAACACCCTCTCCCAGGACCCGTTTTGGCCCACCCCCTGGCCTCAAAGCCGGTTTGAATGTCACCCAGCGGCGCTGCCCCCACGGCCGCGTGGCCCCTTGGCTCCCCTGCTATAAATAGCCTCCGCCTGCGCCCGGCCGCTGCGAGAGCGAGCGGCAATTAAAGGCGTCGGGGAGCAGAAGCGGTGGGGCAGCCCCCTCACCTGCACCCCAGGGCACCGTGGGGACGGCCAGCTCCCTGCGCTGGCAGCGTCCAGCCTTTCCCCAAAATCCCGGGGGAGATGGCGGGCACCTTGGCGGTCAGCCCTCAGGGACCTTGCTTGGGCAAAGGGGAGCGACAAAGAACATGGTTGTCTTCTCCCTCCCACCAAATACGTGCCCCCAGGCCTGTCCCGACGCCCTACAGAAGGACATATTCTCCACCAACCATCACAACATCACGGCACCACCGCAACCTTCGTCCCCCCGCAGCTACCTGGCCTGTTGTCTTCAGGGGGAAATTGCCACTGTGTGAGTCCGAAGGGGCACCCCGCGCTGCGCGGGAAGCGCACGGTCCTACCGCCATTCCCTTACTCCCTGCCAGTGCTTTGAAATAAAGGTGAGTGTGCATGCCCGGGGCTCGTGCTTACGGGGGACACCTCCCGGACGGGGCAGAGCACACGTCCCTGTTTGCACACCCGTTGGTAAGGCACCTGAGCACCGGTCTGGCGTCCCACCTCCCGGCTCAGGCCACGGCCGTCCGCGTTAGAGCACCTTGAGAGAAGCTGGTGCCTGATAATGCAGGGAGAGACGGACACCTCTCCTGAGCTCCCCTGACATCTGCAAGCAGGTGGTAGTGGGAGAAGCTGTTTTCTGTTCCCCATTATGGGGAAAAAATTTGCTTTTTACTGGACAAAAGGATGGAGCCTCGTGGGTTCCTTATCTTTAGGGGACGTTGTCAGCAAGTCCCTGCACTGAGGCAGTTGTGTAGACCAGCAAGAGGTTCCTCAGAGTTAACACTTGAGGCTCTGGTCGCGCTGTGACCTGAGGTAAAACACAGAAAGCCCAGGGGAAGAACTGTCCAGTCTTGTCCAGTCCAGTTCATACTTGATGTAGCTACTTACAGCTATGTTAGCCATGGGCCAGACAAATTCAGGGCAATTTAAGCCCAGTAGTTCTTGACTCCTGCACACAGCAGATGGTTAGGGTTTCTTGGAGGTGTTTGAAGAAGCTCAGAAATGTGCCTTCACCATGTGAGGTTGCAACGCCTGCTACAGGCAAGTCGCTGGGCGTGAGCAGGGACGTTTGCAAGAGAAGTGTTAACGGGGGGAAATCCGTGCCAGCCCGCAGCGTACGCAGGGTAGCTCTTTGGAGGGGTGCGGGCGCAGCTGTGTAGCTGTGAGCATGGGAGCTTGCTGGGAAAGAGCAAACGTGTCTAGAAAATGAGGGTGATGGGATGAAAGCCTCTTTGTGAGAGACTGCGGGAGTGCGCGCTTCGTTAGGGCTCGGGAGGCAAAAAAGGTCACAGCAATGCTGGAGGTGTGCCTGCTGGTGTGGCGGGGCTTGCGTGGCTGCGCCTAGGGCGACTGTCTCTAGGAGGTGTATGTACCACGGGTACAAGCGTTTGGAGGTCTTGCTCTGACGAGGCCCATCCCAAGAGACGACGTGCGACAGTGCGCGACTTCCACGCTGGCGAGATAAGGAGGCAAGCGGCACAGCCTGTGCCCATCTGCAGGGCGCTGGAGTCCTGCACCAGGGACGTTCTTATGCAACATGAGACTCTCGGGAGCTCTTTCCACTGTGGCAGCGCCCGGAGGCGGGAGACCTTTGCAGGGTGTCAGTACCTATGGTGGCTTTTTCTAGTGCCAGCTATGCGGGGGCCAGACATTGCTCCTGACCATGTTTTCCCTGCTTCCCACTGCAGCAGGTGAATCTGACCAGTGCTTAGGTGAGGACGTTTTCCCACACGTATATTTGAACCCCATAAGGCAACAAAATATAGAGTATGCCAGAGGCAACAGCAGCTTGGCTAGTTGCCCCCCACTCATTACAGTATCAAGCATTTATATATCCCCTTACAGTATTTTCTGATTCCATAATGCTAGTGGGATTTGAATGCAGATAATGTTTCTAATCTTGACAATCCTCTTGGCTCAGGACCTTGGGACAGAAGCGGCTGTAATGTAAGAACACAGCCCGTCCTTCTCCCCCTCCTCCTCCTCCCTTTAAATTCATATCGCTTGAAGTCTTGGCCAGCCACAGCCCTTGCCTTTGTGTCAGCCTCTATAATGAGTAATTTAGCTTCAACAGCTGCATGGGGAGATGGAGGGGACAAACTGCCCTGGAAGAACTGGACCTAACTGGTCATGCAGTCCCTGAGGTATAGCAGTAGCTTTGGGCAGGCAGAGTTGGCTGAAGGTGTGAGCAAAGATCCCGGTAGCTCATAAGCTTATATCCCATGCACATTTTGCAGCTTTCCTCTCTCTCATGTGCATGAAGACTTTGCAATGCACGCTTTCTAGCCACAGGTTCACAAGCTATGTCCTGTGCAGCCTTGGTAAAAGGAGTGAGTTTGGGAGCACTCCTCCTTTCTCCCACTTCCCTCAGGTAATAACCATACTTGAATTTGGGTAAGCATGAGGCAGTGCAAGGCCCTCTAGGATGTGTGAGAGGTGCCAGCCCAAAGTGAAGCTTGAGTACCACCAAGTAAGCAAGCACCGCCGCACCTTGGGTAGTGTCAATAGTTACAGGCGACCTGAATAATGGGGATGGAAAGAAACAACTCCCTGCCAGAACATCTTAACTTCACACCTACTATACCCACCTGAACCTAGGTGTGATGCTGGGAAGTTTCAGGAGATTTAAGAAGACCCATGGGGTCATTCTGAAATCCTAGGCTATTGAGCAGCAGAAGCGTCACTGGCCGCCTGACCATACTCCTATTCCAGCTGCAGACAGCACCTATTATGCCAAAGTTTGCATTTGGTGTCAGTTTTGCTGCTAAATGGCAGACAAAATCCATCAGAAAGGGTTACAAATGGGGGTGGGAGAGGTCGCTGTCTCAGCATGGTCAGTTTTTCATTGTGGAGAGACATTATGGCTTTGTGGCCCGGATTTTCTTCCCACTTCTCTAGCACCTGCCTGGAGCTCCCACAGGCAGTAAGGTTCATCTCCCCCAGCTGCTCAGGCTGGGAAGCAGGGCGCTGGGGACATTTGGGTCTCTGTGAGAGTTGTCATGCGTAAACATGGGGAGCTTTCTGTTTCCGTATCTGGCAGCAGTGGAAGAACGAAACTCAAGTAATGCAAGGAGGAGAGCAACAGATGATGAGGGAATGTCCTTCAAGCAATCTACACTTCTCTGCTGTTTCTCTCCTACTATCTTTAAAGCTGCAGTTTATGTTGATGGTCAGAACCTGGTTGATGTAATGATGATGATTTTACATACCAAAATGTTAGTTTTTTATTTTCAGAAATAGCAGGAGGAGATGGCAAGAGTCTAGGGTATTTCCCCTAAAACTTTGAATCCTTATGCAGGACTCATGTCTTCATGCTACTGTTGGCTTCTCTGGTGTTCGAGCTGGTGGGCAGTTTGTTGGAGAGCAGAGTGGGATATGTCTCCTTCCTAATGCTGTGTGGTCATCTCTAGTGTCTCCTCACATACCCCACCAGCAACATTTTGGGTTCTTGCATAATTCAGGCTGGCAAATTACAGGTCCTGAGGTGTCATGGTGACCAAAGGGAAAGGGCAGAAGCCTGCTGAGCCACTGCCACTGAAGGAGACACCCTACTGGCAGCAGGACCTGGGGAGA